TCTAATTACACCAACTGTCAAGACTATTTCAGGTCGGATGGGTGGCAGATGATGCCCCTGGTCCTTGCAAATGGAGCCATGGTGGCAAGATGCCCCATCCCTGGAAGTGTTCAAGGTCAGGCTGGATGGGACTTTGAGCAACCTGGTCTAGTGGAAGTGTCCCTGCCCAAAGCAGGGGGTTGGAATTAAATGACCTTTAAGGTCCCTTCCAACCCAAACCATTCAATGATTCTATGATTCTACATACTTAGCAGCATAAGGGTACTTCTGAGTAGCCTTCAAGGAGAAGTAAGTGGAAAAATGGATCACTTTCTTCCTCTCAGAGGTATTCCAAGTTGCCCATGGTGTCAGGTAGACCTCAGTAAATTGGTCAACCACAGGTCCACGTGGTGCTCTGAAAGCAACATGTTCCTTTCTTAAATGAAAACCTGAAATTCTGATTTCAGCCATGAAGCTGCTGCTTCCAGGAGGAGATTTTTGTACATTTACAAGTATCATCAGTCAAGAAAACTCGAATATTACCTTTTGTGTGGTACCTTTACTGTTCAGCAAAAAATCAGAGATCTGGAGGGATTAAACCAGAGACTGTCTTGATAACTGCGGAGGGTTTACCTGAGATCACATTTTAATCTTTCTTGCTTTCTATTGTGTAGAATATAAGAATTGTGTCCAAACCACAGAGGGAACTCTAAGCCAGTAACTGCCTTCATCAGGACTCAATGTCTTCCTAAGGCACCAAAATATTTGGGGTTTCCAAATCAGAAGAAACAAACTCAGCACCTGATAAAGCAGCTGCTGTGCTGGACTCATCTCTGTGCAAGAAGAAAACCAGTTTTGCAAAGCAGTGGTGGTCAGTTTTTCAGTCACAGAGTTATTGCAGCTTCTGTACCATCTTTTCATTTGAATGTTGGGGCCTCCAGGCTTCTCATTACCATGATTATCATAACTATTTTAAAAAGACTGGGTCCACAAATTCATTCCCATGATACAGCTATAATGAACTGAGGCACTGAGAGGTCTGGATGTGAGCCCAGGTCTCCAGAAAGCCATTTCAGTGCCTTCACCTTCCACATGTGTTGGTAAGGGGGCTAGGAAAGCATCTGCTTTCCTTAAAAAATAAATTAATCAGTAAATGTGCCAAATCTGATATGATGCAAATTTAATATAATACCAAATGGATGAACAGCTAGTTAGGAAAAGCAGCAAAAGCCCTTATTTCTAGATTTGGAGTGATATCACCAACGATGCCTTTGACAAGGAGGTAAACAGGAAAAGCTGAGTTGGCTGAAAGTCTAAGAAACAGGGAGGGAAAAGTCCACGTTTACCACATGGAAAAGGGCAGACAAAGGCAGCACAGAACTGAATGTTATTTTCAACATTCCCAAAAGGGGATGAGACAGGATAGAGGGTTAAAGACATAACAACACTTAAAAAAGACTTTAAACAAGTACTTACTAGTATTTCTGAGGGCATTTAGACTCTGGTTCTCTTTGTCTGAGCAAGGAAAGGAGAGAAAGAACCACTGGCTCGTGGGCATTGCTGTGTGGAAAACTTTGCCAGATTTTGTCTTTTTCTTCTTATCCCCACAGCAAACCTTTATCCAACCTGAGAGTGGTCTGATGCTCCTCTGAAAATAAACTCCCAAAGACACGTACATGTGTTTTCTGTCCCCACAACTTGACAGCTTTCCTCCTCTGGAAACACATTAGGATTGTTCTCCTCAGAGTTATAGAGACAGTCACTGAATTTGGATGAAACAGTTGATCAGGAACCGACAGAATAAGGGTGATTTATTGGTTATCTGGGACCCAGTGCTGCAATCAAGATCAATATGAAGTCATTGATAATATGATAATAACTCTCTCAACAGGCTGAGGGAATTGAGGGTATTCACCTGCAGAAGAGAAGGCTCCTGGGAAGCCTCAGAGCCCCTTCCTAACAGGGGATCCAAGAGAGCTGGAGAGGGACTTTGGACAAGGGCCTGGAGTGACAGGAGAAGGGGCAATGGCTTCAAACTGACAGAGGTCAGGGTTAGATGGGGCATTAGGAAGAAATTCTTGGCTCTGAGGGCGGTGAGGCCCTGGCACAGGTTGCCCAGAGAAGCTGTGGCTGTCCTATCCCTGGAAGTGTCCAAGGCCAGGTTGGACAGGACTTGGAGCAATGTTGGATAGTAGAAGGTGTCCCTGCCCACGGCAGGAGGTTGGAACAAGATGATGTTTTAAGGTCTCTTTCCAACCCAAACCATTCTGTGATTCTATGATGGCTAATGGAACACAGGCAGCAGGGTCCTGCATGGCACCCATGAAAAACTGTCAGTATAAAAAAAATCAGACAATCCAGTGCTTCTGAGCAGAACCTATGCCTCTTGCATTCTTATTACCTCAGTGACTTGACCAGAGATTCCATACATTGCTTTATCTCCTGGTTGTCACATCAAACCTGGCACTGCAAGACTTGGTTGCCACAGGTTGTGCTGCAGAACTGGTGCTCCACACGTACAGCGAGGAGCCAACTGCTTTCCCCCAAACAGAAAACATCAAATAGTGCAACTTCAGACTGGATTTCATGGGTCCTACTTGACGAGGAATTCTTTCTGCCACGAGAACAACAGGATATAGCCCTGGGTGAACAGAAAACCTACACTTTGAGTCATGGAGTGGTGCAACTCATCAAATCAAGCTCCAGAAAACTCCCAAGCTCTGCAATTGCAGGCTGCCAGTGGCTGATCTGGGAAATGCTCCATTGGGGCTCACTTCTTTTCCCATCCAAGCCTCAAGAGCTGTCATTTAATTAATTCAGGGGAAAAAAGGTTTGACCCATAAGATGAGCACTTTTTGTAAGGAAAAAAATATACCTCCTTTTCTGGCATAAGTTTGTATCACTACAGGATTCCAAACATATGAGATACAAATTTTAACCTTATTTTTTTTTTTAATATATATTACATGCAAATTGAGGGACTATCTCTGACCTTCCAAGCAAAGTTGAATAGTAATGGTTTTAGTATCCATAAATTTTTGGGTGTCACTTGCTAGTAAAATGTTGGATAGGAAAAACAGGGGGAAATAGCCTATCCATATGAAAACAATAATCATGTAATATTTATTGTCTGGGATTGAAATGTTTCAAATATTCAAAGCAATAAAACGTCAGGAAAAGCTGGACTTCCTGATGTAAAAAGGCCATAAATTTCTTCCTTCATAAGACACAAGGAGGGGGGAAAAAAAAAATCAATGTGACATTTTACGCTAAAGAAAGAAAGAGAAAAAGAAAGAAAAAATGAAAGAAAGAAAAGAAAAAACCACACACTTGAATCCAAGTTAAAGCAGTGGAGAACCCCTGGAGGGCACAATCCACTTACCTCTGGGAGGCTGCAGGAAGGAAATGGCAGCCAAGAGCACGACTCATGTATTGTAAAATATAAGGACATTTCATAACAATTTAAGGGAGCAATGAGGTATCTCTGCAGTGTCCGGCTCAGACAACTCCCTTCAGCGTTAAGAGCTATAAAAGTACCTGCTGTTGCCCTCCATGCACAGACTGGGGGCTTATTCCCAGCCCTCTGAGATCTCTCCCTCTCAAACCGTATTTTGTTGACTTTAAAAAAAAACAACAAACCACTGCCAACAAAAAAAGCAACTTTCAAATTCAAAAGTGCCTTTTACACCCAGGTCAAAGATTTTTTTTTTTCCCCAAAACTTCAGGAAGTTTCACAACCTCTTAAAGATCCACAGTGTGCAAGAGAAAAATGACAGACGGCAAAAAAACCAAAATTAAATTACTTCTACAAAGTAAAAATCTTTTATCTTTACAAGGATAAAATACTTTCATTGCAGAGAGAGGGAGGCATCAAAACAGGGCTACATTGTCCTTTGGATTTGTAAAAGCAGAGCCGGTTTTTGGAATTCAGTCTTCATGAAAAATATGAATATATATATTCAGATTTATTTAATATATATGCATATAAATTAATATATTTTCTATGCTTCTCCTGCTCGGCTATGAATAAAGTTTTAATAACAGGCTCTTTAAGTGCTGCATTAATTTTGCACTGCCTTCAGGACCACCAAAGAAACCAACTAAGATGCAAAATCCCTTCAGACCGTGCACCACAACTACATACCAAAGCGCAAATAAAACAAGCCTCAACAAAATAAAAATGAATCCAGCATCATCTACGAGCCCAACTTCAACACTGTAAAAAAGCACCTATAAAAACCAGCCATGGCAAAAACTGGGAAGCTCTGGACTTTGGCCAAGAATTCAAAAGTTTGGCTGCTTGTACCAAATTTTATCTTCACGGCCATAACATTGGGAAGACTGTAACCTGCAAGTGTGGCCTCTCCTCCTCTCACAGTCCAGCCAAGACCTTCCTGCCTCTCACTGACAGTAGCCCACACTCGATCCCAAGCTATTTCCTACATAAGCCCCACGCCCAGACACGAGGATATTGTCCTCTGCTTCACAGACACCTGGCCAAAGAGGTTTAGCAGGATTTGAGCAACTAACAAATATTTAAACTCCAGAGTCCGCGTGGAATAATTTTCACACTGCTCCCATTAACCCGTGTGTGGATGGAGTGTTGGCCATTTCCTGTATGATTTTGTTGCAGGGACAACATTAATTCTCTCTCTCCTGGACACATTAACAGAGCAACTTGGACTAGCTTAGATGGCAACAACTATTTGGGTACTGTGAATAAAAGTGATCAACTCAGACTCTGCCCCAAAATACATGTGCCCTTAAAATGTGAAAGGTTTTTAACTCAGTAGTCAAAAACAACAGCTGTAGAGGACAGAGAGCTGTTTACCACTGTATTGGCTCTGAAACCTGACCTCATATGAGAAATAGCTATTCTTAACTATTTCACTGCCACAGTTCTGTTCAACAAAGAGTGGAAATAATAATGATGTAACCGTCAAAGGGGAAAAATAAATATATTTCCTCTAGTGACATGCTGCTGAGCCCATTCAGACCAAGATTATTTCGTTCTGTCTTACCTTGGAGTATTCAGTGTTGTGGTTCTTGATCTTCCAGTGGAAGAATCTGTCATGTTTTTCCTCTTGGGCTTGTGCCTGATTTACACAGTGAGGAGACCAGTGGGATGCTCATGAGTTTGAGGGAGACTTCAAGGCTGACCTCAACTGTTTGCTGTTCAAGTTCAAGCTCTACAGGAGTCATGTATCGGTTTTGCCACCATCCCAGAAAAGATGAGTAAGAACAGCACCCTCCATGGAGAAACTGACTGTCAGAGACCCTTTCCCAGGTGCTCAAACTACTCCTTAATAATTGCTTCCATTTATTTGTGTTCTGTCTACACCAAAATCTGCTGAGCAGTGAAAACTTAGCACTTCGCTGATAACATTCCAAAACAGAGGAACAGAAATGCTTTTAATATTAAAGTAAGGACAACCTGACATGGAGAACACTAAACAGATCTTGTCTAATTTAATAAAATTAGTTACTTGAAGCTGCAACAAAATTTGAGCACGAGTAGCAGGTTTAGTCACTGGTGAGCAAGGATAATCTGAGCAAGGGAGCTCAGGGGAGAAGCTTGGCTGCAGCCTTTCTGCTCTGAACACCTTCCTTCTCCTTCTGCAGCCATGGTTCGGATTTGTTTTCACCTCAGCTTGACACACAGTTGCTGCCATTTCATTTGCAGATCTGAGGAAATCATGTCAGTACAAGAAATGCAATAGTTTTGGAGTTTTTTTGTTTTGTTTTGTTTTGCAGATTAATTAAATAGTTATGGAAATAAGAGCTAAACAGAACTGGTTTGAGCCAACTTGCTTTATTGGCTGTTGACTATCTGAATCTTGCTACAGCTTCTGGTTTCTTGCACCTTCTCTTCTCCCAGGTCTGGTTGCAGGCTGAAGATCAGCCACCACCACTTCAGCAGCACTTCATTATGCTCAGACCCAGCTCATTTATGAAAAATTAACATTTTACTTTATCTTTGTCAACACCCATCACAGCTGCTACCCCAGTTAAAACAAGGCATTTCTGTTTCTTAATTGTGTTTCTCTTGTTTCTTGCAGCTCTGAGGCACTCCTCAAAGGCAGTTCGGGAGATGAAGGTAGGAACACTCTGGCAATGCCAAAGTAATGAGTTTGTTCCTCATGGTGATTTTTGATGCAGGAATCCAGCAGAGTGTGGAGGAGGGAAAGCGTCCCACAGTCCACGTTCTGGTGGAAGCGTATCATTTGTGTTTCTGCACAGGGCCACTAAGTGGCCGTGGCACATCTCAGCTGGAAGGGCTTAAAGCTTTGAGGCCTGGACTGGATCCAAATTGAGTGGCTGCATTCCTCCACCCCCAAATCCCCTCGTGGATCCAGCTGGAGGCTGCTTTTGCACCTTTCTCTCCTAACCTGCAGGACTGGTTTATATGCTGACACACCTATAGCTTTCAATGCAGAGGGAAGACAATTCAAAACTGAGAGCATCAGTATGGATTTGGGAAATCCAGGTTTTCAGAACCATCCCAGGTCTCCCAACATGGGGCCCATCATTTAGTCTTTCCACTTAGAAGAAATGGAGATAACAACACATTATTATTGTTTTAAAGTGGTGCTGTGGGCATGAACACATGGAAACCTGTGAGGCACTCAGATATTACAGTAATCAAAGTCATACATGGACCAAAAATTGACAGATCTCATCTTCACAAAACCAGCAACAAAATCTGCAAAGCATCTGGATGAAGACAAGTCCAGAAATATGCAGATATTGGTATAAGACTCTTGTGCCAATATTTCTGTCTGATAGGAGTTAAGACGAATTATCAATCACAAATAGAGAACTATAAAATGTAAAATGAAACTGTATTATTATAATTTTAGTTCTTGATTTTCCTTATTTATCTTTCCAGCTCCCTTCCACTGCTAATCTATCTTGTTTAAGAAAAATAGTATATAAGTATAGTGGAGCTTGATTACTGAGAATAACTATTAATGTAGTGTCTCAGAGCACTCTCTAGACAGTTAAAAAGCTTTTAACAGTAAAATATGAAGGTTTCCTTCAAATTTGCAGTCATCTGCCTTCTAAAACTTTGTTTCAGTTGCCAACATTTCAGTGATTTATAGAAGCCAAAGTATCTGATTTTTGTCTCCCCACAAGAGATGAGAGCTATTTTTTCTTATTTTGTAAAGGCAACATCATTATCTTAAGCAGAAAAAGAAAAAAGTTAAGAGCTACATTAGAGATACAGCCTTCAAAATAATTTTTAAGGCATCTGGCCTTATTTAAACCATCAAATTTACATTCAATTCCTTCAGGGATGGCTCCGCTGCTTTGCGCTGGCTCCGTGCCCTCTGAATAAAGCCCTGGATTTAATGCATGCCACCACTGCCTTTCCCTGGCTGCTCGGGGTGGATATATAGTAGAGGTATAAAAAATAGAGGTATAAAAACCTGAACCTTGGACAAGATGATTCACTCAGGCAAAAAAAAAAAAACCCAAACAAAACAACAAACCCTCAACCCTGTAACTGTTTAAGTTTCAACTAGAGGTGAGACTTGTGACTAATGCCACTATCTATTTATTCTTAAATAATTATTAGAAGTGTTTAGGTACTATGAAACATTCTGTATGAGCTGGATGGGAATCTATAAAACATTTTATGAGATCTACACAGGGCCGATGGCAGAACCTTAATACAACACAAAAGTTCATCTACGCTCAAGAAATGCCAAACCCCACTTTTTTATTCTGCTCCCCCCTCAGGGAGGGTTGACACTTGACAAAGAGGAGTGTGCTCTGAAAACCCAGGGGGGCACATTCTGCAGGGTCTGAGTGTCTCTGGAGAAACACAGAGCTCTGTCAGCTTCTCTCGATTTCCAGAGGAAGGCAAAACTCTTTTAAAGGGTTTTATTCTCTCAGGAAAGCCTGAGGAAGGACAGGTCAAGAAATGAGATGAAGCCCAACCGGAAATTTGCATTGTGCCTCCATCACCTCTGACAAGTTTTAAGCTGAATTATTATCCCTGTTTTGTGCATGGCTGGAGTAAAAATCTGAAAACTGAGGTAGTAAAACCACCCAGCAGGGCAGGTACTGAACTGACAGTAAAAGTCACACTCCCTTTTTACACAGCCTTATTCCTACTGAAATAGATGCTTCCCTTCTTCAGGTAACTACTGTGAAATAATCAACATCACCTGATCCATTCACTGTAAATCCAGGCTAAGAATCAAAATGACTTGCAAGTTGAAATTATGCAGGAATAAAGCTATTCATATGCAGCCATTTAACTGAATCTCAAACCGATTTTTGTACATATCATAAAAATGTGTAGCACCAGCTTAAACATACATCTCTGTTTCTGCAGCATGGGAACTGGTGCTAAGACACACTCCAAATGCAGCACGAATATTACTGGCTGCTTTTTTGTTTTAAACAGAGTTAAAGAAAACTCTGAAAATGAGAAAAAAGAAAAAAAGTAATTACTTCCCAAAATAAGAATAAACTGGGTTAGTCCAAGATAGGGAGACATAACCTACCTTGTTTGACTCTAAATTCAGCTCCCTGACTTGTACAGAGAAGTGAAAGGTTATTATATGGGTTTGCTGGGCAAACACAGATTTTATAAATAATTGCCTGTCAGGCTGTTCAAGATAGACAAACACAGAGCAGACCAACAAAAACATGATCTGTCATATTTCTGAGAGAAATGTATGTTGAGTCTTCATTCTCTGGGACTTTAAGTAGATCAGTAAAAAAATAAGGGCCAGTATTTTTCCTGCTTATGCATATTTTAAAATATAAAATCTGGGAGAGATACAGCTACAGAAGGAATTTTGATTCCAGTACCCAGTGCCTGAAATGGTTTCTTCTGTCTCTATCCCTGCATATCGAAACCAAATACAATAAATGCTGGTGTCCTTTGAAAAAAGTCTGGATGTTTACAGCAAGCGTATAATTTTCCGTGATTAAGGACGCCAACAAAAATAAAGAGTGATGATAAAAAGAAAAGTTTAATCATATATTTCAAGAAGCACAGATGGAGCATTAGAAAACTTCTCCCTCCCCTCGTTTAATACGTGGTGTTGTACACGTTACTTTCAGTCCCTTACACACAGACAATTTCCAGAAAACAGAAGCAAAAAGTAAGCAAAAGAAAAAAGCAGTTTATGAACGTCAGTAACATTCGATGTACAAAGTTCACTTCTACAATATTTTGGGTGCAAAGAGACATTTTTTTCTGTTTATTTAAAAAATACACATATATTTAAAGTTTTTGCGAGCATGTCCAGGAGAGCAGGACAACAGAACCACCTACAAACGACCACAAGAGCGTAGAGCAGGAGTAAAAATTAAGACCTCACACACTAAGCACAAAGGAGGAGGACGGCTGCACTATATAAAACTAATATTTTACTGATCTCCTCTTGATCCCTTGAGTGTTCTGTATTAATTTGAGGTTTAAGTTGGATTCCAAGCCTGGCTGAAGCGGATCTGGGCCCCTGGGTAGCGCAGGGAAACCAGCAGGACGTGCCTGCAGATCCCAGTGATGGGCTTGAAGCACGAGCGCTTTTCTCTGGTCAAGCATCATCGTGGTCAGCTCTATATTTGTACAGTTTTATGGGAAGAAATGAATGTGTTTGTGAGGCCAGGAAAGGCTGGAGGAGCAGGGGACGGGAAGAAGCATAGAGGGAGGGACTGAGATTTAAAAAACAAATCTTAAAAACAAACAACATTACCTAAAATATATATTAAAAAAAAAAAAAAAGCAAAAAGAGCTTGGTTTCTTCTTTAACCAAATCCAACAGTAATGCTGCCTTTGTCAACAACAGGGACAACATCTGCTTCCTGCAGCAAACACTGAGCAAGTACATAACGTTAAGCCTTTGCCTACAAGCACTGAGACAGACACAGTTATTTAAATACTTTAAGATGTATTTTGCCAAATAGGGGCCCAATCCAGTGCCAGAACACTGCAAAGGCCTTCTTAGATTTCAGAGAGTAATGACTCAAGCCTTAGGAGATGCCAACACTGAGAATTTGGGGGTGACCACTTAGCCTATCCTTGGGTCTGCAAAAAGTCAAGTCTCTCACTGGCTAAGTTCAGTTTATCTGAACCTTTTTCTGAATATCTTTGGGTCCAAACTTGCCATTACTGTCATCAAAATCCCCTCACTGGATTAAACTGGGTTATACTGTCTGAACACTTAAATCAATGAAAGAAACAACTAGAAAT